TACCCTTTCTGGGCCTTGGTGTCTGCCTGTTTCTTTTACATCTGTGAATCACTCTTCTGTTCTTCCTCTCGAATTCTTCTCATTTTGATATTTCTCCTCCCCTCTGTGAAGCCCGAAGTCAACTAAAGAGCTAATGATAACCGTCAAAACGCCTGCCATTTGTAATAAATAAATAAATTATAAAAAATTGGTTGCCTAAATGAAAGCTGACTTTTTAAAAAGGTGTTTCATTTCGAAAGCATTGTGTGAAGCATTTTCTGATGATAATTTTGTTATCTCTGAAAAAAATTATTTACACCGCTTTTTCCAAACTAAATTCCAGCGACAGGCATCAAAACGATCAGGAATTTATTCAAACGAATTATTTGGTTTCAATCGCAATTTACCAAATTCAACCATTAAAGAGTTGTTAAAACATCATCCTTTGATCATTTATCAAATGGTCACACGACAAAATGTTTGAAGTTATGTGAATCAAAATTTATTGTAACCCAATGTCAAAACAAACACAAGGCAAGTTAAAATGTCGGAAGACTTTTCAGAAAATAAATGCCATAAATGTTTGAACAAAATCAAAAGCAAGAAATATTAACTACTTATTTATTTGATCTCGAAGTAATTCCGAACACTGAATAAACATTTCTTTATTGACTAATAGAATGAATATTAATGGGTTTTTACTGAGTCGAATTTTTGCGATTGAATTCTCATTTAGACATTTTCCTTTATCTGTCAGGGCAGAAAAGCTTATTTCCGTTATCCTTAGTGAAGCTGCATTTTATAAAGTTAATTTAAAATGAAAATGGCATTGACAATCATTGTTCTTAACCAACCTATTAAATTTTCCGATAAAAGTTTTAATATTTATTTACATTTATCCTAAGCTTTTCTAGGTAATTTTCGTCAAGCACTCAGGAAATTCCAATACTACCAATCATATGATTCACCATCTCCTTATTACCCCATGGCATTAAGAAATAATCGTTTATTAAGATTTATAGGAGCCAGTGGAATTCACACTGCACCAAGCTATGGGAATAATATAGTCGATTTATTAATTATAAATAAATCGATAAATAAATATGATATTCACTAAATATACACATTGACAAACTTCGCATGTTTGTCAAACTTCTAGATAACATTAAGAATTTTCCACTTAGTGAAGTGAAAATAGGATATATCGATGTGCTCGAGCGAAATCAATATCAGTAAGAAATAAATTAATAATGCAGTTTAAAATAAAAATATAAAGTTATTAAGGCACTTGTTTAAAACAAATTTTCAAATATGAGACGAAAATATGAATAATGAAGTGAAAAATAGAGTTTTCTCAGACTTTTAACTTTGTAAAGTACAAACTTATGCTAATCGAGTTAAGGAGAAGATGTGGTCATGAAAGTAGAGACCCTTTTGGTCAAATAAATATCAATAGTCATTGCAGGGTAAGAATGCATCAACATGTTAATCCCCCTCCCCCAAACTACGACGCTTATCCGACCTACATCGTCTTTACCATATCACACGCCTGTTTCCTCCCTATCATTGAGATGGGGACAGCTAATTCCGAGCGCCATTCCTAGCTAGATCTTGCCATAGTGAATACTGAGCATACGTCAAAGCGTATTCGAGTAGCAATCCGCAACACCTTCGTGAGATAGAGAGCTTATTTAAGCAAAAAAGTAACTTTTATTTTAAATTGAAGAAAGTGGACCACTTTACCAGCGTCATTAACAAACTGAAATTTATCATTGGAATTAAACATTTTAATATTGTTGCCGTAATTTAATTTTGAAATTGTAACATTTGCTTGGTGGAGAAAGAAAATAATTACTCCAAATAAGGTAATATTCGTAAAATTAGTTTTACTTCATTTTGAAAACTCAAGCATAATCCCAATTTAAGACGATTTTTGGTTATGAAATCGTTCCGTTTTTACGACTGCAAAAATAAATTACTTTGATGTTCTTTTAAGGTTGGCCAGTCACAAAGTTAAATTTAATTTCTACTTTTCATTTTTATGCAACACCACTTACACAATTTTTATTTCAAACCTTTTTTACAATCTCAAAAAAGCCGTTACTGAGATATTGAAACCGCCACACATTCTTTATAGCTTTCGTTGGATTTATCTTACTTTGAGTTTGTGATTTCAATTTAACTGTCGGTCTGCATAGAGGACAAAATTGATATATCAAGATGTAAAGTGCTTGAGCCGATGGAAACAACGGAAAAGTTCCCAAAACTTAAATATGGAAGAGATTTGTGTTGAGAACCTTTTATTTTTTCATTTTAGAGTTCAAACAAAACAAAATTTCATCTATTTTGTCATTAGAAATTAAAATTTCTGAAAGCCTTCATCTTGAAGAAACAAGATATCATATTGTCTCAACATAAATAAAAACAATTTTTAATTAGGTGCAGAAAAGTGAATCCCAAGGCAAAATTTATAGACAAAAAACATATTTTTTAAAATATGAAATTAAACGTTCATTTTCAAACGGATACGCGTTAACGCCTGTAAACATATTATGAGAATTCAATGGACTTATCTATTTAAAGGCCCAATTGAGTTTGACATTTTAAATCCATAATCGATTTTATATCAAACTATTAAAAATGCTGTTTGAAATTACACGCTCGTTGAATTATTTTAAACAGGTATTAAATTCAAAATTCCTGGAATAATTTAAAGTCACTTTTTCATTTATTTTCAAAACGATTTATCTACCTCGTTCCCGAATCCTCTTCTCATTTATAGGTTATAATTATGCAAAGAAATAATTGCAATGATCATGATTCCAAATGTTGAATGGTCAAAATCTCAGTTTTTTCAGTTTCAAATTAAAATTTGTCTGAAATATTCAAAATAGTCATTTCAAATTTCATAAATGTTCCACATCTTTCGTGCACCTTTTAAATATCAAGAGGAGATTACTGAACTGCCAATGAGACCTTTAATTTCCCATTTTCGTTCAATAAAAATTATTACAAATAAAATAATGGAAATAACTAAATTAGAATATAATTTTGGTCAAATTAAAATTTTTAAAATTTAATTTCAAGATAAAATTCATAAAAGCTCATCGGTACTTTAGACTTAAAGATTTTTTCTTAAACTGTTTAAGACTCGATTTGTTATAAAGCTCTGAGTATTGAGATGCAATTTACTCCTTTTATTATTAATTTATTTATTTTAAAGTTACCCATCTTATTCTAGAAGGCCCTTTTGCCTGTGGAATATGTTAATTGTTGTAAATATTTGAGCATCGGTTTTAAGCCAAACAGAAACGACTGACATCATGAAACAAGGTGTCTGTCCACTTTGATGTCCAAACGTTCTTCCTGCTCTTAATAGCTTTGTCGTATATCAGCCTACCTCTCATTTCGGTGTATAGTCTGTCCCACTAGAAGTTATATATCTGATTGCTTGGTGAGACCTTTATCCTGTGAGTTTAAACATGTTAAGTTCAAAATGTACCGGAAAATTTTATCAGTATTTATATTGAGTTAGTAGGAGTGTGCGATAGACTTACCTCCAGGTGGTACATCCTTCTGACTTTTGATTTCAAACTGCCATCAAACCATTGTATGTCATATTCGACTACTTCCACAGTACTCACCACACCTTTTTCTACATTTGTGTATGTCTCTTATACATCTTTGAAACACTTTTCTGTTCCCCCTCCCCTCGAATTTTTCTAACTTTGATGTTTCTCTCCTTCGTGTAGCCCGAAGTCAGCTAAAGGGCCAATGACAACTATCATAAAGCCTGTCATTCGAATTAAATTAATATTGAGTTAGTAAATTGGAAGTCTACTCATATCATTAATATTCATACTTCATGAGTAAAATATATGAATAAGTAATAAATACAACTACGGGTTAGGTCTCAGATTATTTATTGAGATTATGAGCAAGACAATGGCGTATTTTGATTCCAAAAGAAGTGATAAAAGTGGTGAGAGCTAGCATTTCATTTGGGGAAATGAGGGTCATTGATTAGAATTTACTTATGATGAACTATGATATGTAAATTTTAGAAGTTGATGAAATAGACACTTCACTAAATGAATTTTCAGCTACCAAAATTTTAAAACGCGATGAAAAAATCCGATGGCACACCTTTTCGTTGACCTGTTTTGTTCATTATTGAATCATTTTTTAGATTTTTTTATAATATTGTGCATTTTTGTGGACTTGAATTAACTTTGCTTTCAATTTCTATAAGTCATTCCAAAGTATGCTTCAGACTAAAATATTGAAAAAAAAACAATATCCCAATTATAAATCTACTTAAATTAGAGAAATTATTTTAGGGGAGACAGATTAAATTTACAATGATATAATCAAGTATTTTCATTGTCCATGTGCAATATGTAAATAAGTCTCAGTTAAAGCATTAAATTTAATAGAAACTTAAATATTTGCGAACTTAGTAAAATTAAAAGGAGATATGAGGTTAAGGAGAAAGGAATTGTTTTTTTTCTCATTTATATGATAACTTTGCTTAAAGCAAAAGATATTTTTCTCATTTACTCATCAATTTTGAGTGATTGCTTACACCAATTTTTTTTCCGATGTGTTTTCGTACTCTTCCTGTCAGAAGTCCTGGGTGGTAAATTAACTTTAGTCACAATCTGCTGACGATCCGATGGGATGACGACTCACAAATATGTCTATACTAGCTTTAACTATATTTACTTTTTAATCATTTGCTATATTATTTTCACTAACATGAATGACAACTCAAACTTTTACAACAGGCACATATATAATATAGCAATTAAATCCATAAATAATTCAAAAGTGCAGCTTACTGGTTTGCAGGCAGGTGTTATATTCTTCATTAAACTTCACAGGATCATTCACTTCCACTGAGTTGGATTGGAAATGGGCCTTTGCATAGAAACTCGGTGCCTCCTTCTTCTTAAACATGCTTAACAGAGGAGCAATAGTCAATTTTCGTCTCGAATTTCGCAGCAATATCACAAGTATGATAATCAGGAGACAGATTATAGCAACAATAGCAAATATGCTTATACAAAATATTATGAAATTTCTGCGGAAATAACTTGGCTCAACGCTCACAACATATTGTACTTGACAGTCAATGCCATCAACTTCTGTTACTCGCACATCTATAGTTTCATTTTTTGAGGACGTCATGTCCGCCTTGAAAGTCTTGGTTGGTAAAGAGGGCCAAAAAGTATTGGAAACAAGTATGTAAAAGGTGATATTCGGATTGGCGACGAATGAATCAGCAATGTAAACATGGCCCAAATTTTCATCAAGAGAAACACCTTGAAGACTACTAATATTATCAGCTGATGAAGCACAAAATTTGGCCTGAAAAGTGCATTCGATCAATCCTGGAATATTTAGCGTCGCTAATTGAAACAATGCATCATCACCTCTAGGAACGGTTGCATTAAAATACCACTCTGTTTCATTATTTGCATTTTGTTGAGATGGGATAATTGATTGATTAATGCGGATTGTCGGTGACAGTTGGTTGGCGTCGAATAGATGAAATGTGATTAGAAGACAAGTATACCGTTTAGGAAAACCGTTATCCGTTACATTTAATGTGGCTTGAAGATGGCAATCTGTACTAAAGTTTTTGTGAACTTCCAGTAGAGTTAAAAGTCCAGTAGAACTATTGATGGACAAATCCATGCACCTTGACTGTGGGATTGATAAATTATAGGTGAGTCTACCAGCTAATCCTGGATCTGTGTCTGAGCCAACAGCTTGTCCAATCACGGAATGAGATTTACTTTGACGAGGAATGTAAAAGGGGACCTGGTTGAGTGATCCATTATGTTCCTGATCGAATATCTGATGAGGAGATAGAGAATTTGCCAAGGCAAAGTTAAAAATCCTCACAATTGGAGCGTAATGATTGCTCTCTCCTATAATAAATGTCAACTTCTTTGATGATGAGAATTTGCCATCATGAACCATGATTTCCGCTTCGAGTACACATATTGTCCCATCAAAATCAAGAGATGATGTAAGCATCACCTCCCCAGTTTTCTCCGAAAGGCTCAAGAGGGTAGCTTTCCTTGGATAGACAATGGGAAAAGGACCTGATTCAGTCTGGAATCGTTGCTCACTTCGCATGCTCATACTAAAAAGCACACCACCCTCATTTTCGGCTGATTCCCGCTCAAAATCGGCATCCTTTGCTTTAAAGCGCAAAAACGCATCACCCAAAGGGAAAGATTTCGGTAAAAACACAACGCAACCTTTAAGGCTTTCTTCACCCGATTTCCCGTTATCTCCTTCTCTCAGAATAGCAGAGAATTTGGCTATCTCAGAGTTATTGACAATCCAAGCAGGTGGGATTATCAATGGTTCTTGAAAAACTGGAGGGTTATCGTTTTCGTTAAGAACAATTATTTCAATTACAGCTTCGGAGTTGAGAGAAAAAGGATCGCCGAAATCTGTACATGATAAAATTACTTTAAGTCTTTTTTCTGCCTCATAGTCCAGCTCTTTAGTTAGGTAGAGGGAATAGGTTGAAGATGAAGTCAGACGCAATTCGTGCCCTTCATTTAAGACGTGACAAGAGATAGTACTATTCTCTGAAACATCTCTATCAGAAACGCTCACATTGGCAATAGAAGTTCCAAGTGGAACTCCCTCCGAGATTTTAAGAATTGGGTTACTGTGGGTATACTCAGAATCCATAAAAATAGAGTTTATCGAAATATCTGGTGGATTGTCATTGACATCAAGTACTTTAATATACACTGGCAAAGTTGACGTCTTTGCTGGAGAGCCTTTATCATTAGCTTGAACGATAATTTTATACGCATCTATCTTTTCTCGATCAATCTCTCCGGAAACTGTAAGTGATCCAGATTTAGGATCAATCTTGAAAGGTGACTCGCGATAACTGGGTGGTATTGAATACTCTATTTGTCCATTAGATCCGCTGTCATAATCCTGTGCCATAATTGTACAAATTACAGTACCATTAGCGGAATTCTCCTGGACACTGACTTCCAAGTTTCGACTTTTAAACATTGGGCTGACATCGTTCACATCAGTTACCATTACAGAAACGGTAAGAGTCCCAGTTTTCTGTAGACTTGGATTGATCACTCCATCTTTGGCTTCGATTATAATTTTATACATTTCGATCTCTTCTCGGTCTAAATCACCGTTTATAGATAGGGACAATGATTGTGAACTGGTTGAAAATGAAAATAATCCGTTTTCCTTTGGAATAGACACCCATCTCTTAGAGCTTGGCGCTCTTCCATGTATAAAAGCCAATGAGTAAAATACTTCCGAATTCTGTCCCAAATCACCATCTTTGGCTAGCGGTAGGCGATAATTTTCATTATATTTTACTCCTTCACTGACTTTTAGGGTAAAAGTGTCTGGGGTAAAGACAGGAGTCTGGTCGTTTTCATCAAAAATTTTGATCTCAATTAAAAAGACTTTAAGGGGAGTTTGTTGTGCCGCGGTGTGGAAAATACCACCCTCGAATCGAACTGCTAACTGCAGTTTAATGGAACAGAAAAGGTTATGACTGTCGCAACAGCAGCCATAATTTGCCTGGGAACATTGCTGCATAGAAAGACGCTTTTTACACACAGTTTCCAAATCGAACGACTTGATCAACTGCAATTCAGAAGATACCAATTTCTGGTTACTCTGTCTCTTTTGTATAAGTTGGAAGTATTCGAAGAAGGGTTGTGCGGAAGGGAATATTAAAATGTCACTAATGTCCTCATGGAAATAGGCTCGAGCTTGAAGATTAGCTAGGACATTACCGAGAATAAGGGGCACTGGAGATTCTTCGGCCATGGAAAAACTGGCGATAGCGGGAAGCATATCAGCTCTAGTGAGTGAGACAAAACACAGCGCGAACAAAAGTAAGATGCCCTGAAGTACACTTGGGTTTGGCATATTAGTAATCCATTTGAAAGTGCATGTAAGTGCACTGAGGATGAGACCTGCTTTTAGCTGTCTGGAAAGCGGATTATCATCACACAGATTCTGATCATTTGAATGCCCAACGCTCCGCCTTCTCCTTACATCACCATCCCAGTGGCCAATCACCGCAGGGCGTTAGTGTGCGTATAAATTGGCACGTGTAAGTGGCTGTTAAATGAGGATGAAGATAGAGGCAATATATTGGAATGCGATTTTGAGGCTGAATAAATATCATTATAGAAAGGTCAAGTACTCTTACCTATTTCAGCAGAAGGCTTTTCTTTAAACTACTTCTTTCCAAATGTGATTGTTCCAAAAACTGAAACAATTGACATGTAAGTAATAGAGTCAAACCTACGAGGAGAAAAAAATATTGTTCAATTGTAGAAAAAACTCAAATTAAATTTTTCAAAAACTTTACTTTTGGCCACTGAGGTGAATCAAAGCTTTAATTTGTTCTTACCATCGGAATGTGCATATATTAATTAGTATTAACGTAATCCTATAAGGTATAATGCTGAGTGGTAAACAAGAATATCTAGTTGAATAAATGATGGCATTCAGTGTGTTAACTCTTATTCGAAATCCAAATTCACTTAGAGGTTCGGTCTGTTTCATTATGTCAAGAATTTCACGCTTTAATTTTTGATCCAAAGTTCGATGAACGAATAGCAGCTATTTTATTTCATTGATTCATCGCGGTAATTCAACTCATTAAAATGTCTTTATAGATCAAGGTCAGATATTTGACGATAACAGATATGTTTTTTGTCCAATATAGCACACTAATGTTCGTATAGAGTATTCCAATGAACTAGCTCTAGCTGACTGGACACAAGTAAATTTCTCATTAAGGCTGTTTAAGGCTGCTATTTGAAAACAAAATGTAGTCAACGATGTTTTAGGCGAAGGAATGCATTAATGGAAGCTTATATGAGGAAAGTTATTCAAAGGTTACATAATATTTCATTTATTTGTTTCAATTGGCAGGATTTATGATAGTTATCATTAGCTCTTTAGCTGAATTCAGGCTTCACAGAGGGGAGGAACAAGCAAAGTGCGAACAAATCGAGAGGAGAAACAGAAGAGTGATTCACAGATGTAAAAGAGATAGACAGACACAAAGGCAGAGAAGAGGTAAGGCGAGTATTGTGAAAGTGGTGGAATATGACATACAGTGGGGTCATGGTAGTTTGAAGTTAGAAGTCAGCTGCCGATTGATAGACTTTTTTGTGGTATGAGTATACGTTGCCCAGGGTGCACCACGTAGAGATAAGTCTATCGAACACCCCACGGTTGCATAATATAATAAAGCATAGTATAATGAGGGCCGTCAGTGTCGTAGCTGATGTATGCTTCTCAAGAGCAGCGAAAAGGGAGATGACTCAAAAAATGCTTCTTTGTTCTTTTTAAAGCAAGTTCACCTGCTTGAGGATGAAATACCAGAAATGGGAAACGAATGTTTTATGAGAATGTGTCAGCAAAAAAGTCTGATATTTTCTCCTATGGGTAAGAGAATTTTCGCAATTTCCAAATATAGCGAGTACTATTTTGAGGTGGCAAGTATGACACAATTTTGCTATATACTAACAAATGCTACTTTGATTCCAATTTTGTTTTTTTTTCCAAATTAGCTTTACATTAAGTCTTTACAAATGGCCAGTGATGGGTATCACAAACACCCTCATCTCACTTAGATAATCTCAGGGAGGGGGGTGTTTTTCGTGAATGTTCGAACTAGTTTCAGAAAGGAGAAGATGTTTAAATACCCCTTGTAGCAGAAATTATTTATTTGTGACTTGCCTTAAAATGTATACAGAAACAATGATTGAAGCAGTAATACCTTCGTGAAGTACATCTTTGAAGAAAAGA